TTTCATGTGTTCTATCAAACTACAAGCACACAACAGCCCAACTATTCGAGCGTACGATGCGGCCACGAGGAGAATAATGATTCAAACCAAAGTCATCATCCGACTGCACATGTTCCCAAAAGGACTGGAAAGTTTAGACTTTCGTTCAATCAAACGGAAAAGATGAGTGAGTTGTTCTCTACCGCCTACTGCGTGCATATTCCTCGTGTTGGAATCGTACAACCATGTTTAGAAAGAGAAAGAACAAGCCTTCCAGTTCACAAGTGAGAAAAAGAATTGTTCCACGACAGGATACCATTGTACAGGCAAAATCGCATGCAGAGCACGCTCCGGATGCATTCAAACCACTGGTAAAAAGATTTCTGCCGAAATGAGATCAATCGGATTCGGTCCCGATTGCGCTTGATCACATGTGAGGGTGGACTAACCAACAGGGCTTCACCGAGTGCATGCATGCACACACACACACACACACACACACACTGGCGGAAACGGAGCAACAAAGGTATCATTGGTCGTGCACACTTTCCAATGTCCTTCGACTAGTCCCCACATCCGTCAGGCCAAACCGTGCTCAGTTTCGCGGTGGGGAATGCACACCGAGAACATGCGGTCTCGTGAAAACTCGGTATTTGATTTGTCTGACAAAACCGCAGGTTTGGAATTGCGCATAGAGTTAAATATGAAGTGGTGGTGCAGCAGAGGAGTTAAGTGACAGCTGAATTGTCTGGAAACAGTGTGACTATTACAGTTAACAAATGACTGGTTTGGTTGTTGAATTTGGCAGCACGATCACATGACACTTGGTGAACTATTGCGTAACCTAGTTTGGTTTTAGGTGAAATATGGCAGACAGACATGCACCTGAATTGCTTCGTTCACGCTGATTTCTAAAACCAAAGCAATACTCCGAAACCACCAAAATTGTTTTACTAAAGTGAGTCGAGATTTCAACGACCCGATTTCATGTATTCTCCAAACCCTGTGAACTAAAAGCTCACAACTCACAGATGATCGATGAATATGGGTCGTTTAATTCAGGATATTTAGATGTACAAAGTGAGCGACCTTGTCTCGTTCGGGTCTGTGGAAATTGGTCAGTAAAAACACACGACTGGAGCGACCTTAAATGTGTAGATTGATCTCAAAACTACCATTAGCCAGTGCATCCATTCACCCATCGATCCATCCATGAGATCCTTCCGTTGTTGTAATCCTTCTGTTTATGAACAATGTCTCAAAAGTTACGCCCTTCTAATGTCTTTCAGATGACTGAGCTATTGGCATGATTTTCAGGGAAATCACGGGCACTGGTAATTCTCAAATTAATCCTAACACCGACAATGAAAACTGTAAAATCCGATAAATAAGATTATCTAACGAAATACCTCGTCTGTAACAGTTGGTTACTGGTTTCATAAAAGGCTCTTGATCAGTGGTAAAACAGCTCAATATTGTCCTCTATAATCACAATAATAAAACTTTTTCATCCAATCCGGGATACTGTGAGAACTACCTCGTCGCGCGCGCATTAAACACAATACTCACAAATATGAGTACGGCCTCACACTACTGATACTCATAGCACCACTTCAGATAGAAGGCAAATCAAATAAGTAGTCTATTCGATTTCACTCGTGGTCGCACTCCTGCTCGAGGAATAATGGAATGGTAACAACTGTTGTTGTTGCTGTTGTTGCTTATAACTAATAAAACATCCCAATGGTTATTGCCTAAATCATCCAAACAGATTAAGTGCTTGATTGGAAAATGAAATACTATTCAACCTACCAATCCGTATTCCTCCTGGTGTCAATCAGTTATACGAAAAAGCAATCTTTTATTCCACTGGGGACAGAAAACAAAAATCAAACTTTCATTGGCATTTCTCTAAATTGCGAGAAAGAAATCGGTTCTTGCTGAAAAACTTTTCTTTATGTGAACCTCCGGTTATGGTTGAAATCTCATTCATTGAATAAAGAGATTGATATTTGAGAGTAATGGACAATTTGATTGAATCTGAAACAGGGAATTCGTCGTGTGTAGAGCAAACGAAGCGTGAACTGAAAAGCTGTTTCCACCTGGTTGGGTATCATCAACGGTGCGAATCCTTCGATCCAACTGGGGATCGAACCCGGAACCTCGTAGTCAGAACGCAAGCATCCTACTTGGCAGCTGACCAGACCGATCGACTGAGGCAAAATATGCCTAAACTGATACATCCAATCCCATTTTTGGAATACGAGTGTCAAGTAACAATTCGGATGAATTTTGTTTTTGGTTTTAGCTCAAGATTCTAAAGCTTATATGACATTGACTGCAGCGTGCTGATGTTCACATTCCTTTCACTATCGGTATATTCTGCTCCATTGTGACAAATATGGTGAGACTTTAGTTTGTTTCGTTTTGGTAACTCCATTATGAAGCCGAATTCGGTCAAACATGGAATCTAACCTGGAGTTTCTAATACAATGGTTCTGATTCAATGATAATAATAACAGATCAGGCGTTCACTCCAAGACCCCCACCTCCCTAGGATGGATTTTGAGAAAGATGATTCTGAGTTTCAACCCCCGAACTTACACAGAGACAGTTCCATACTAGCCCCGGAAGTTCGTTTAATTTTCATCTTNTCGTCATATGTCAGGAAGTGGCGTGATGTTCACCTTCACCAATGACAACCATTTTCATTTGATGTTCTGTTGATCCATAGCCTGTAGTATGTACAGATCATGCAACAGTGCAACTTCATCACCTTTCCAGGAAACGGTTACTTCCAGATTGAGAACATGAAATCCAGCACACCGACATCACTTCAGCACAAGGTTGCACCGAAAATCTGGCGTCTGATGCAGCGATTCACGGAACCCCCACCAAACGAACTTAAGGAACAATCAGAAAAACAGTTGGATCTTTTAGGGGCAGATTTGAACTCCAGTGAGTTCAACCCGCCCATCATTCGTGTGTGATTCCAGAAGTGAGTACAACTTTGCTAATCCACGTGTTCACGCGGTAATATAGAATACATGAATCGGTCAAGCAGCATAAGCTCTTTTCCTTTTCTTGTCATGTTTGATACACACAGCATTTTCTATACCTTGAGCCAATAGAAAGGTCTCCCTTTTACAAAACGTATCATGGTATATGAACAAGCACTTTTGTTTGAATTGGTTAATGCAAGATTCAACTGAACAACAAAACCCAAAGTTCGCATGTTTGCGTTGCTCACTGAAACTCCACACTTATCGCGTACACATAACTATATATATATATATATATATATATATATATATATATATATGGTGCCAATGCAATAGTGATAGACAATTGGGGATTGGGGTAAAAAAACATAGTGAAACGGAGGTCGAACATATAAAAGTGAATGAAGATAACAAGAATAGTAATTTTTTGTTTGTTTAACCGTGGACGTTTTGATATCTTTAGGTGTGTTAGTTTATCGTTCTGAGGGTGTATGGGATTTCACCGGACAAACCCAAACGGAACAGAACTTGCAGTTCCCTAGCAAGCTTCATTCCACCATCAAAAATAGATTGGGGTAGGCCATGGGAGCCCGGTGCTTTGTGTCGTCCGAAGACTTGGATCACCCTGCGGATCTACAACTCGGTAGGTGGGTCTCTTGAGACATATCACGGGGCGTGTTGTAAAATAGATGTGAGAAGCTGATACTAATGGCCCGCCAAACTGTACCCCGAATTGCTCCACTCATCGTGCAAGACGTCACCGTAAGTGGACTATCAACTTTAAAAGCTGTTTCGGTCACACCCAAAGCTTTCCTACCGGTGACTCAAATGAAATGTAGAAGCCTACGGGAATTTCGCACGGTGGTAGCAAATCCAATTTCTAATGCGCGTCGAGACTACCAAATTTCGCGGTCTTCGCATACGCCTACGTTAGGTTCATGCCTCGTTACACGTCGTGCGACGTTAAGCCCTCTGCCGGTCTGAATTGATCGATGTGTGTCAAGAAGGCCCAGATACTCAGCGGAAACCCAAGGTAACATGGCACAATGTATCAGTCCACAAACCAGAAGAAAGCAGAGCATTCTTGATGAGCCACCAGTGCTGAGTGATGCTATCAAGTGGGGTGGATTCTAGCTTTTCAGCTAGCGCGTTTTAAAAGATGGTTAGGCATGCTGGTTGATATAGTTTATCAGAATCTACCCGTCATTGTGAGTTGCGTTGAGAACGCCTACCGAAGTGCATGGACACCTTGGAGCAAACCAATTCGAGGGGAGTACTCAAGTATGGTCGACATTTTCGGCTTATGTGGTCGGTCTGCGTTTGTCGCTGGCTCGAGGAGGGCCAATGCCAAGCGGCGTACTGCAGTTCGATCGTCTGAAGTTTGTACTGGCGAGGAATAGGCGGGTTTTCAGAGTAGAGTAAACAACCGTTTCTCGTTTTCCGAAGGACATGAATCTAGTCCGAAAGGACCTTCCAGATGCACCTCATTCGATGATATTTGATTTACTCTAAGATGCGTATCTCATGCCAGGATCATGATATTAGCCCGGCTGGCTTTACACAATAGGTTGTGCAGTTTTTGGTAGAAAGTATCTTTGACGGTATCTGGACTACATTCCGATGGGTGCGCATGCTGAAATGACAAACAGGTTGCGTCCATCGGAGCGATACCTGTCTAACATACACGAACCACTAAGTCTCACAGCGCACAACCGACTGTCGAATGGGATCCAATCTAAGAGTGCACCTTCGGCTCTCTCAATGAGAGTAACGCCAACGCCAGCATGACCAGAAGGTTCAGCTCCAGAAAGGCATAGGTGAAACTTCGCCAACGGGTTTGATGGGGACATCAACCGGATGGTGGAGCTGGAGTCTTGAACGCTTATCTCAGGGACACAACACACAACGATGATTAGAGTCTCGGGGGTACGAGACAAACATGTTTGTTGTCCTAAACACGTCAGAGTACGCACCTTAAAAGTGATTAGCTTAAAAGGACACCAAGGACGAAGAAGAGCTTTAGCTGATGGAGAAGAATTTGGTGAGACTTGATTGATTACCTGGAAGCTGTACCGCGGTGCGTGCGCACTCGTTACACGATCACCA